AGGACGCCTCTGGGGAGGGAGGAGGAGGTGGAGGAGGAGGAGGAAGAGGAGGGAGTAGGGCGAGGAGGACGGGATGATGGAAGATTGATGTCAAAAGCACTGCCCGATGATGATGATGATGAAGATTGATGGTGATGGTGATGGTGATGGTGATGGTGATGATGAAGATGATATGATGAGGAGGGGAGGGGAGGAGGAGGAGGATGAGTGGAGAGGAGGAGGACGAGGAGGAAGAGGAGGAGGAGGAGGAGGAGGAGGAGGATGAAGGAGAGGAGGAGGAGGAGGAGGAGGAGGAAGAAGAAGAAGAAGCAACAGAAGAAGAAGAAGCAGAAGAAGAAGAAGAATACTAACAAGGAAAATAATAATAATAATAATAATAATAATATGAAGAAGAAGAATAATAAGAATAATACTAAGAAGAAGAATAAGAATAATACTAATAAGAATAATAATAATACTAAGAAGACTAAGAAGACGAATAAGAATAAACATACGAATAATATGAAGACGAATAAGAATAATAATAAGGATAACAATGATGATGATAATAATAATAATCATAATTATAATAATTAATTTGCCAACACATAATAGATGAGAATAAGAAAGCGAATGAGACGAATTTAAGAATAATTAATTAATAATAATTTAGGTAAGAAAGAATAAGAATATAATAAGAAGAAGAAGAATTAATAAGAATAATAATAAGAAGAAGATGGAGAATATGATTAAGGAATAATAAAATAGAAGAGGAGGAGGAGAGGAGGAGGAGGAAATGAGGAGAGGAGCAGGAGGAGGAGGAAGGAGGGGCGGAGGAGGAGGAGGAGGAGGACGGAGGAGGAGGAGGAGGAGGACAGGAGGAGGAGGAAGTGCATCCCGTGCGTGCCCGCTTGAGGAAAGTGCGCCCCGGCGGGCGTCGTATCTGCCCCGGGTCCCCCCCCCTCCCCCCTCCCCCTCCCTTCCCCCCTGCGGGGGATCAAAGGGAAGGGGCTTCCCTTCGACTCCACTACGACGTCGTTTAATTTCGTTTTGGATAGCGCGCTTGAGGAGGAGAGCCCTGGGAGGGGGAGAACGGAGAGGACGGAGACGACGAGTCGAACGGAGAAGCCCCTCACACACACCGACAGGGTCGGCGGATTTTAGCAAGCGGAAGTTCAGATTCTGTTTGCGATGGTTGCGAGGCTTCGCTGGCGGCCGTGCACTGGATGCATGAGACAGTCATCTTTGAGCGAGGCGGCTCTCAGTAGGACCAGGAGAAGGCTGGGGGGGGGGGCGACGATGAAGATACAGGGGGAGCGGGAAGGTCAGGGGTTCCTATCGAGCCGTCCCTGGACTTTCTTCGTTTGGCGGCATTTGTTTGGCCAGCGGGCGCGAACAAGTGGTCGCGAGCACCGCCAAAGAGAGCCACTGGTAAAATTGTTCTTTGCTGAGAACCTTGGTTCGAGGTCCGAATCGTCCCAAGCTGCCTCTGCTGCCCTTGCCCTGGTCGAAGAGCTCCTGGGCCCTCGGGACCCCCTCTGCTCCTCCTGTGGACCTGGGTCCTCTCGTTCCTCTGCCTCCATAGGGAGACAATGGCCAGGGCACAGATGGGCTTGAAGTCTTTCGTGAGTTGAATCACGGGCCAGCTCGGCACGGCCGAACCATTATTTGCCTGTCTTGTACGTGTTTCCTGATACTGCCCACTGGGCGGCATTGTCGTGGCCTGAAGAAGTTATGTAAAGGTGTTGCTAAGGCACGTGCAGACCGTGCGGCGTAGGTTTAGAAGCTGTTGAATGCCGAGCGCGGGAAGCACCCCACTTCTGGTGAATTCCTAGAGCCTGTGCCTGCCGTGCCGAGGCAGGGCGACGCCGCCACTGCTGCCGCTTCTCTAACGGATGGGGCTGGGGCGGTGGACTGCTCGGGGAAGGGATCCGACTCTTCTGATTGATGGGGATGTCATGCCCATCTTCCGTTTGATGTAGCTGCCGCGGAGGCTTGCCGCCGTGGTTTGGTCGCCCTGGCGGCATGCAGTGCCGCTCTGGCCCTGCTTTTGTGGCATGGTTGGCTTCCCTGCCGATCGCTCCGCCCTCACTCTGTCATCAGCGACGCGCAAGTCACTGACACGCGCTTCCGCTGTGGAGTGAAATCTCGCCTTGATTCTTTAGGCTTACGCCACGCCGCCGAACCCTTGTTTTTTTTTGTAGGCAATCTTGGACGTCTTGGGGGCGTCATGGCCCGACTTTATCCCCCGCATTCCTATCGTCGTCGTCTTTGCTCCTCCTCCCAGTAGTCGGCCCGTCCCGCCACCGTGCCTGAGTTGTGGTTCGGAGGCCTCTCAGATTCAGGAGAAAGTCCAGATTCGGTGCGCGAAGTGCAAGAATTTCTTGAAGACGGAGGCGGAAGTGGCGGCGAACCAGTACGACTCGAAAGATGCGGGGGAAAGGCTTTGCAGGGCGTGCGCCCGCAACGAGAAGGGTGGGCGGAACGAGAAGGCGGACGCAGATAATCGCAAGCGGAAAGCAGAGGCGGACGCGAAACCGCTGACGTGCGCGGCGTGCAAAGGCGCGTTTTCGGACACGAAACATTTGAAGCAGAAGCAAGTGGAACATCATCGAGCGGCGAAAGGAGCTAAACTGGTGTGCAGAAGCTGCGAGGAACTCGGGTTCACAGCGCGCAGTTGCCAGGCTTATCAGTGCAGCGGCGCGTGCAAGAGAGGACTACCAAAGTCGGCGTTCCCCGACCCTCACAATGTCCCGCGCGACGCAAAGAAGGGCACCCTAAAGTGCAAGACGTGCAAATGATGCCCAATCGGTTGCGCGTACTGGGCAGAAAGGGAGGACGGGAAGAGGAGGATGGGGGGTGAGGCGGAAAATGGGGGGGAGAAGCATCGGTGAGGATGAGCTGAAGCGGGGCAGGAAGAGGAGGAGGGGAACGAGGAGGAAGTGTAGGAGGAGGAGGAGGAGGAGGAGGAAGAGGAGGAGGACGGGGACACTGAGATGGGGCTCCGGGTTATGGGGCTGGGCGCGACTCGAAAAACCGGTGTGTTCAGGGATGTCCGTTGGGATCTTGCGGGGGGGCTTATTGCGGGCCTCTTGGAGCAGTTTCGAAGGTTCTTGGGGGCCGTTTTGGGACCTCTTTGTGGCTTCTTGGGCGCCTCTTGGAACGTCTTGGGGGCCTCTTGGGGGGTTCTTGGGGCCTCTTTGGGGCCTTAGCGGGCCTCCTGGGGGCCTCTTGGGACGTAAGGCTGGGTTTTCCGGTGCGTGGTCTCTCTCTGGAGCCCCTCTTGGGCCCGTCTCCGGGAGGTTCTTGGGCCGCCTTGGGCGGCTCTTGGGCCGTCTGGGGGCTCTCTTGGGCCGCCTTGGGCGGCTCTTGGGCCGTCTGGGGGCTCTCTTGGGCCGTCTTGGGGGCGTCGAGGAGGCCTCTCGTGCCGTCTTGGAGCAGTCTTGGGAGCTTCTTGGGCTGTCTTGGAGCGTCGGAAGGCCGAAAAGGCGAAAATGACGAAAACATTAGAAAAAACCAATGAAAATCAACGATTTTGGCCTCTTGGGGCGCTCCTCGGGGGCCTCTGGGAGGTCTCTTGGGGCGTCTTGGAGGTCTCTTCGGGCGTCTTGGAGCCCTCGTGGGGCGTCTTGGAAGCCTCTTGGGGCCTCTTGGGCGCTTCTTAGGGCGTCTAGGCGGTCTCTTGGGGCGTCTGGGGGCCTCTTGGACCGTCTGGGAGGCCTCTTGGGGCCTGTTTGGCCCGTATTTGGGCCTTTTTGGGCCCGGAAGAGCGTCGTGAGTCGCTCGTAGTCGCCCCCCCCCCCCCCTCCAAATCGACCGGACCGGGTTCCCCGGGGAGGGGTTTGGGGAAGGGGGAAGCATCTCACACGCCGATGACCCAGGGGGTCGGCGGATTTTTACAGCCCATGCAGTGCCATGCTACGCTAGGAGGCCCCCCGCCGCCAGGAGGCCAGGGGGATAAGCAGCATACCATCACCCGGGACTCCATCGTAACAATTTCGGTCCGCAGGGGATTGTAGCAATTTTGCCCCGCAAGGAATTGTAGCAAATTTGATCCGCAGGGGAACATATCCGATGGCAAACATCTGCTATCCCACTCAGCGGGATTGGTCTTTTGCTGTAGCCCATGCAATGCCTTGCTAAGAGGCCCCCGGCCGCCAGGAGGCCAGGGTAAAAAAAGGCAGCCTAACATCGCCCGGGACTCAATCGTAGCAATTTCGGTCCGCAGGGGATTGTAGCAATTTTGGCCCGCAGGGAATTGTAGCAATTTTGATCCGCAGGGGAGCATATCCGATGGCCGACATCTGCTATCCCAATTGATCTTCTGCTACAGCCCATGCAACACCACGCTATGCTAAGAGGCCCCCGGCCGCCAGGAGGCCAGGGGAAAAAAACAAGACAACATCACTCGGGATTCCATCGTATCAATTTCGGCCCGCAGGGGATTGTAACAATTTTGGCCCGCAGGGGATTGTAGCAATTTCGGTCCGCAGGGGATTGTCGCAGCCGTAACCCGCCAACCGAAGCCAAGCAGGAGTCATGCCCCATACGCCCTATGAGCCCCATGAGCCATGAGCCTTGAGCCTTGTGAACCTGGTAAGCCCTACGAGCCTTATGAGCCCCATGATCCCGATGAGCCCTATGAGCACGATACCACTTACGAAAGCTACGAGCCCTATGACCCCGATTCCGATGAGTTTTATGATCCCTGTGACCCTGTGAGCCCTAAGAGCCTCATGAGCCCCGTGAACCTCATGAGTCCTAGGAGACCTCATCGGCCCCTCATCTAATCGACATCCCTCTGGGCCCCACGAGCCCCATGGGCCCTCCTTGAGCCATCTCGTGAGCGATGCCGACCTCCTTTTCGCAAAGCCCTCGGGGGCGGGCATCGTGCCGAACTCAGCTGCGCAGCAGCATCGATCCACTCTGACCCGTGCTTGCACAGGTCCCCACGTGGCCAAAAAGCGCTAGCAGCATAGCTTAAGCTGCAACTCTGACTCTGGCAGGATGCTAGACCCCGCTCAGGCGGCGTCGACCTCCGGGGCGCGGAACAGCTCCACCGACGACGGCTTCAACTCCACGCACCTGTCCTTGACTATCTTGGGGAGGCTGTGCAACGGTAGTTTCTTGATCTTGACTTTCTTAATGAAGTCGTCCACGACGGCTGAAGGGTTCGAGTCGTCGGCGGACATCTTGGCATCGGACATGTTGACGTGGGCGCTCACCACGCAGATGGCAACGAGCACGGCCGCAACCTTCACCCCTGCCACCTCGAGCATCGCCTTGGACCCTGGCATCTTAATGTGCTTCAGCAAGTGGTTGTACATGGAAACGATGCCAGCGTTATCCACTGCGGACCGCGCGCTCATCTTCTCTGAGAAAGCCGCCCAATCAGGAAGAGCCACTGCCTGGTCGATCGGCTCCATGAGCCTGTCGGCCTCGGCCATCGCGTCGCTGATGATTTTGTCGGCTGCTTTGAAAAGGAAGGCTTCGTGAGCTTTCTCGATGGCCTCCTTGCGAGAGTTCAGCGTGCTCAGGGCCTGAGCCGCGTCGACGAGGATGGATACAGCCTTGACGTGGTCGATCATATGTGAAAGCGTCGTAATCACATCCTCGAAATCCTTGGCGGAGAAGTCGATGACCTGCAAGGTTGACCCACCACTGCCTTGAAAGGCTCTCATCTTGCCGCAATCGTCAAGCACGGCCTCGACCAACTTCGCCGCGGAATCCTTGCATCGCGCGACGGCTCCGTTCGAGAACTCTTCCGGGAAGAACTTGGTGATGTCATGGGCCGCGTCTTTCTTGAAGGCTTCTCCCAACTTCTTGACATTCTCGGCGAAGGTTGAACTGTCCTCCATGGCAAGCTCGCCCTCCACCAAGCTGTAAGCAAACTGGGCTGAAGCGACTGCCCCCTTGAGGGCGGGCAATAGCTTGTGGGTTGCTGATGTAGCGTCGCTGGGCGCCCCAAACGAAGACTGCATGTAGTCGAAGACGGCGGTGAACTCCTGCTGATTGATCTGCTCAGCCGCAACGCCCGATGCCATATAATCAGACATTGCCTTGCACACAGCCTGGATGAAAGGCTGCAGAGTCGCATCCTGGCGCTGCAACCACATCTTGCCCTTCTCCAGGCACTCGGTCTCATCGGCAGGCAAGTTGAACAGCCACTCCTGCACTTTGCGGATCTGCGCGAGGAAGTCCCCGGTCGATGACTCGATGAAACCCTTGTCCCCCAAATCAGCGATGGCGATGGCGGTCGGCAGAGAGTTTCCAGCCGAGGCAGCCTCGCCACCCTCCGAACTCGCGAAGAAAGATTTCAATGACGACACCGCCTGAGCGACAAGCTTACAACATATCGACTGGTTGCCACCGCGACCCAGACTTCAAAAGCGAGGGCCGCGACGACATCCGATCGATATATTGTTACCCTCTCGCCGCCCGCCTCTTTTCCCAGGGTCTGCTCCTTCGCTGCCTCGGCAATCGCAACGGCCTTGGCAATCAAGAACTTGCCCCTGGGAAAACTTGTCACCGCCTTGGTGAAGACGCCAAGGTTGACAACCGGGAGGACCGCGCTCTGCAAACGCTCCGCCTCCACCTGACATGGGAACAAAATGGCAAGCATGGCGTCCATCCCCTCGGCAGTGTCGGTATTCCCAAAGCAATAACGGTTGGCGACGGCAGCGCTGCTCAAGTTGCGAGTCATGGCCTGGAAACTCGCGCCCAAAGTGTTGATGTCGCCAGCGGCCGGGTCGGAGTCCCGAACGTTTGAAAGCCTCCCGATAGTCATGATCACCAATCTCTGCTGCTCGGCTGAAGAAGACATCGAATCAGTTTTGCGAGAACGACTGATCGTTGCGACCACCTCGTCCATGTCCGCAACGGTGCCAAGGGTTTCATTGCGGGGGCGGTTGTTCCCTGGGAACAGCAGGCTGATCAACTTGGTGACGTTGCTTGAGATGGCGAATTGGGTCGCGAGGATACCGAGATACTTTGAGATCCAATCAGGCATGGGGAAGTACGCCATCGTCTCTGTCGAAGGCATCCATGACGAAAAACCATCGTTGTATCCAGGAAGGGCATCCCGGCGCTCGTGGAAAGCATGGCAGCTCTCCCACATAGGCGCCAGTTTGGAAAACAGACTGTCTGCGTTGGCTGATTTGGCCTCCAACTCCTTACGGAACTCTTTCACTGATCCCACCGCGTTGATCAAGCACCACGCTGCCTCCGCCTCCGGGAGAGTTATCCAATTCTCCTTCTTGGACACTTGGTCTAAACTTTGCTTCAACTTCGTGCAGCTGGATTTGAGGGTCTGGTCCTTGCCGATATCGCGAAGCATCAAGGCGTGGAACATTTTCAGCAAGTCCGAGAAATGAGCGTGGAAACGCTTTCTACGCTCGACCTCAGTGGCGTTTAAGTCCTTATCATGCTTGGTGGAACTCTGCAGCAGCGCGCACTTGGCGAAGCCGTCGGAACCTTCAGGGATCGGCCATACTGCGGCCGAGTGCGACCGATTCTCCGGCTGACTGCCCATGACCTCGCCCTGCGGGCTGGCGCGCGGAGTAGAGGCCGATGCCGCAGCTGCCGAGGCAGAGCCCGACGCAGCTGAAGCCCCTGGCTTTGGCTTCGCAGCCGCCTTCTTCGCTGGGGCCGTGTTCTTCTCGACGCCGACGAAGTCCTCGAACCTGGCAGCTGCGTCTTCCTCCTCTCGCTCTAACAGTTCCAAGTAGTCGGGCTCTAGGCTGTCCTGAGGCAGCGGATGGGGGGCCCAGGGGATGCGAGGCGCGGCCAAACGAAACCCCATCGGCGCGGCACGCGAACGGCGCAGCAAAGCCTAGCGCATCAAAGCGTTGCAAGGCCGAGCATTAGATAGCACGCAGCATTGCATCGCGGCGCATAGCATTGCATACAGCGAGCGACAACTCGCCAAAACAAATGATAGCCCCCCCCCCGCAGTGATCACCCAACAATTGCCCCCCACATGTCATTGCCACTGCCCTTCAGCCCAGCCGCCAGCGCGGCCCGATCGGCATCGGCCGAAGAAGGACTGATCATCGGGCTCTCCCCGGAGAGCTTCGACTTCGAAGGAGGTGTTCTCAAGAGTGCAGCTGATGATGACGCCAACGCTGATTGATTCATGGCATGGGTGATCTGGTTCGGTAGCAGTGACCTCTCGAACTCGGCAAACGATGCGGACATCTCGGCATGGGTGGCCTGGCCAGCCCCCTGGTCGAGGAGATCGACATCCTTGAGGCGCCGAATCTCGTTGTCCTCAGTGTAGACCCAGCCCTTGGGCTTCTCGGGGACCCAAATGCATTTCTGTTTTTTTCCCCTCGTGAAATCTCATGACTTGCTTCTCCTGGTCGGCGCTCGCCTGGCCGAACTCCTCCACGTACGCAGCCACGGTGACCCACCAACCTCGTTTGGATGAAACTGTCTCGTGTACCTTTTCCACCTGGATGTATCAGTTGGAAGCTTTTTTCGGTAGCGATGCCAATCCTTTCTCGTACATGTCTTGCATGTCTCTCTGTGTTTCGTTGCGTGCCACATCCCAACGACGGACGAACGGTTCCTCGACCTCCTCAAACTTGCGCTTGCATCCCGCCTTGCCGTACCCTGGTGCCTTGAAGTTTCTCTCGACGGTCGTGTAGCAAATCTTGCACCAATCGCCGATGGGAATGGGCCCTGGCTCTTCGAACCCGGACGCCGCCCATTGGTTCAGAGTCGGCTTGTAATACCCCCACTCCATATACTCATTGGGGAAGAAGACGCTGCTGGAGTGAGTAGTGAGAGGGCAACTGCGGCCCACGCACTGGATCTTGCTGCAAGTGGGCTCTGGAGGCGGGATGCGCTTCTTCTTGCTAGATGGCCCGTCGTCGCCCCCAAAGTTGTTCATGAAGTCGTCGATGTTATCTTGGCTAGACATGCTGCTGGCGTAGAGTCGGTTCCAAGATAAGCGGAAGCAGATGTGCTCAATAAGTCAGTGAGCGAACCTGGCCTGGCATATCGAAGCAAAATGCTTACGTAGAATAGTGACAATGGGTCGGATGGATGGCCACGGCATACAGCCGCTGTCCACTGACAACATGTTATGACCCTAGAAATCTCGCCCCATCGGCACACCGCTGTCCGCAGCCAAAACATTTTCTGACGGGGGCAGGACAACGTGACGCTACAGCGCAGTCTAATCATTGGGCTTGAAAACCGATGTGCGTCTTGGGCTGTCGAGACTGCGGCGTCGTCGTCGTCGTCGGCGGCGTCGGCACGAGGACCCCCAGGATAGAATTTAACACGAGAGTGGCGTGTTAAATTCTGTCCTCGTGTTGTCGTCGTCGTCCGCGTCGTCGGCACAAGGACCCCGAGGACAGAATTTAACGCGAGAGTGGCGTGTTAAATTCTGTCCTCGTGTCGTCGTCGTCGTCGTCGTCGTCCGTCGTCCTCGTCGTCGTCGTCGTCGCACCCGTCGTCGCGACGACGACGCGTCGTTGGGGCTTCCTGGGGCCCTCTGGCCCAGAGGGGCGATGACGACGACGGGGCCAAATGACAAGATCCGAGATGTTATTTCTGCCCCCCTTTGAAATAACATGTTTCTGCTGCGTTTGAAGAATGTTGGGGGATTCGTCACTGAAGCTCTACACTCTATCGCGTTGCGCTAGTCTGTAATCATTGTGGCTGTGGACCTTCTCGACCGTTTCTCATATCATAGCGGTGACCTACTCGACTCATACCGAGGACGTAAGCGCACACCACTCATACTTCATAGCGAAGACCTAGTCGACACCCCCTCAAGGTGGGAGCCTCGTCGACCCTTCTTCATAACGGAGGATTAGTCGACCCCCCATCATCCCATCATAGTAGAGACCTCATCGGCACCCCCCCCATCACAGCGGGGACAGAACCCCCCCCATCACAGCGGGGACATAACCGACCGCCCCTGTCATAGCGGGGACATAGGCGGCCAAGCGACCCCCCCGTGATAGCGGAGCTCTCATCGACCCCCCACCATAGCGGGGTCCTAACCGATCCCCCCTCATAGCGGGACTTGATCGTCCCCCCCCCACATGGCGGGGACTTAACTTGTAACCTAATCGCCCCTTGCATAGCGGGGACCTAGGAGTCCAGTCGGCCGTCGGCCCCAACTCATGACGGCCCGGCGATGGCCGCTCCGAGGCTCAACAGGATGAAAAAGGTTTCAACAGAAACAGTTATAACATTTACGCTACCCGCTGGGCTCCCCAACGAGGGGGAGGAGGATTGCCAGGCGGCCCGAAGACGGACCGAAGACGGTCCAAGACGCAGCCGAGCCGGGAGGAGGTCGCACATGTTATTTCAAAGGGGGGCAGAAATAACATCTCGGATCTTGTCATTTGGCCCCGTCGTCGTCATCGCCCCTCTGGGCCAGAGGGCCCCAGGAAGCCCCACCTTCCACTTTCAGAAAATGCTATGTTTGTTAATGTTGTTTACTATGGGAAAGTATGGAAAAATGCTATTTGTTTGAACAGACTTTATTTCTAACGCTCTTTTTTTTCAGACTTCCCGGTAGCTCCCGGCAGTTCCCGGCAGTTCCCGGCGGGCGATTTTTTCTCTTGGCGCGAGTTCCCGGCAGTTCCCGGCTGTTCCCGGCAGTTCCCGGCAAAGAAAGCACGATCTCATTTTTAAAACAGAGCTCCCGGCAGCTCCCGGCAGTTCCCGGGAGTTCCCGGCGGCCTAAGGAAAAAAACATTGTTTGCGCCCCAAAATAAACTCAAAAACGCTACAAATATTCAGCGAACCGCTCAATAACTCACTGTATGTATTTGGGATGTTTACTATTTGTTTGGATGTTCGCGCGAGCGTGCACGAGGCATGTTCGCATGTCCAAGCTTAAGCCCTGTTGAAAAGCAAGTCCGCGGAGGCCCAGCCCCTTCGGGCGAGGGATCGTTGCTGTTTCCGGGCCCTCTTGGGCCATTTTGAGGCCCTGTTGGGTCCTCTGGCGAGTGCGCTTGGACCTCGGAGGAGCCCAGAGGCGCCTCAAGAGCTCGAAAAACCAGATAGATCACTGATCTATATGTTTTTTCATTCTTTCGGAGGTCTCTCGGAGCGCCTGTGAAGTGAACTGGCCTTCGGGCCATGAGACGCCCATCAGACGTTCCAAGAGGCATCTCAAACTAACACGCCACTCTCGTGTTAAATTCTGTCCTTCGGGTCTGTGTGCCGACGACGACGACGACGACGAGGACGACGACGACGCGTGCGACGTCGACGACGACGACGACGACGCCGACACGAGGACAGAATTTAAAACGCCACTCTCGTGTTCAGTTCTGTCCTTGGGGCCCTAGTGCCGACGCGACGACAAGGACGACGACGACGACGACGAGTGCGACGTCCACGACGTCGACGTCGACGACGACGACGACAACGACGACTCGAGGACAGAATTTAACACGCCACTCTCGTGTTAAATTCTGTCCTTCTGGTCCTTGTGCCGACGACGACGACGACGATGACGACGAGGGCGACGACGAAGCGTGCGACGTCGACGACGACGACGACGACGACCACGGACGACGAAACGAAATTAACACGACGGACCGGAAGATTGCCAGGCGGCCCGAAGACGGCCCGAAGACGGTCCAAGACGCAGCCGAGCCGGGAGGATGTCGCACATGTTATTTCAAAGGGGGGCAGAAATAACATCTCGGATCTTGTCATTTGCCCCCGTCGTCGTCATCGCCCCTCTGGGACAGAGGGCCCCGGGAAGCCCCAACGACGCGTCGTCGTCGCGACGACGGGTGCGACGACGACGACGACGAGGACGACGGACGACGACGACGCGGACGACACGAGGACAGAATTTAACACGCCACTCTCGTGTTAAATTCTGTCCTCGGGGTCCTTGTGCCGACGACGCGGACGACGACGACAACACGAGGACAGAATTTAACACGCCACTCTCGTGTTAAATTCTATCCTGGGGGTCCTCGTGCCGACGCCGACGACGACGACGACGCCGACACGAGGACAGAATTTAACACGCCACTCTCGTGTTAAATTCTGTCCTGGAGGCCCCGGTGCCGACGGCAACGACAAGGACGACGACAACGACGACGGGTGCGACGTCGACGACGTCGACGTCGACGCCGACGACGACACGATGACAGAATTGAACACGCCACTCTGGTGTTAAATTCTGTCCTTGGGCTCCTTCACTCCTCCGTCTCCTCCTCCTCCCCGCCCTCTCCCCCCCGTTTCCCTCGAGAGCCGATGCCTCCAGGGTCGGCGGCACAGGCCGTAAGGCCAGCGCAATACGGAAGATCAGAACGGAATAATGATCCAAGGCGTGCAATCCGTAAAGTTGTTCACGCTCTTAAAGACAGGAAGAAAACGGACGCTTAAGGACACGAAGAAAACGGACGCTTGAGGACACGAAGAAAACGGACGCTTAAGGACACGAAGAAAACGGACGCTTAAGGACACGAAGAAAACGGACGCTTAAGGACACGAAGAAAACGGACGCTTAAGGACACGAAGAAAACGGACGCTTAAGGACACGAAGAAAACGGACGCTTAAGGACACGAAGAACACGGACGCTTAAGGACACGAAGAAAACGGACGCTTAAGGACACGAAGAAAACGGACGCTTAAGGACACGAGGAAAACGGACGCTTGAGGACACGAGGAAAACGGACGCTTACGGACACGCGAAAACGAACGCTGGGAGGAGGGGTGGGAGAGAGGATGGAGGGAGGAGGGGTGGGAGGGAGGTGGCGAGGCGGGGGAGAGCGAGTGAGGGAAGAGGAGGTGGAGAAGTGGAGGATGAGGAAGAGGAGGAGGAGGACGACGCCCGCAGGGGATTGTAGCAATTTCGGTCCGCAGGGGAATACATCGATGACAGACATTTGCTATCCCACTTTGTGGGATTGATCTTTTGTCCCCAGCTGGCAAAAATCGTTTACTGTCCATTGTTTATTGTTTGGGGCAGGACAATGAATGTGGGAGACTTGTCGCAAGCTCCCAAACCACCCAAGTGTTCGCCCGAAGGGTGTGGGCCTCTTTTCGGAAGCCCCTTGGGGCCCTCTTCGGAACCTCATGGGCGCCTTCTTGGACTCCCTGGTGGGCTCTTCGGCGATTCGGAAAGCCTCGGGCGCTCCCTGTAACAGGCTCCCGAGGGCCCCGACAAGGCTCCAAGAGAGCCCCAAGAGGGCCGTCCAAAGAGGCACAAAGTATATGCATGACTGTGCCTCTTTTGGGGGCGCCTTTTGGCCCCCCCCACCGGGCCCCTCATGGGGCCTTCACAGGGCCGTCTTGGAGCCGTCTAGGCCCGTCTTGAGGGCGCCGTTTGCCGTGATGGGGCCGTCTTGGTTCGTCGTGGGCCCCTCATGGACTCATGGGCGCGTCCGTAGGCCGTCCTGGGCCCATCGGGGTCCTTGTTTTTTTCCTGGACCTAGCAGGGGCCGTGTTGGCACCCTCTTGGGGCTGTCTTGGAGCTGTCTTGAGCCGTCGCAGCGCGCCTTGGGTTGTGCTGGGTCCGTCTTGGACCGTCTTGGGGCCTTCCTGGGCGTTTCCTCGGACCCTCCTGGGCCTTTCTGGGGCCTCTTGGGGCATCGGACCGCCGAAATGGCGGGAAACGCAAAGGGTTCTTCTGTTCGCCTGGAGGCCTCCTCCAACCCCGTGGGCGAACAAGAGGAAACCCACCGGGCCGCCAACCCTGGGGCCCGAGGGCCCCGCGCCGCTTGGGCAAAGACGAACGCCGGGTCTGACAGGCCAGCTACCGCCCCCATTTGCCCGATATGCTGTGCCATTATGTTCCCCCAGGGGGCTTTGCAAACTCTTCGGGCCAACCAGATCGGACCCCTGGGACAGCAGCCGATTGATATGACCCAGGGACCTCTCCGCACTTTTCGGACGAGCACCTGGGGGGCCCAGGAGATTCGGACAAGTCTTCCCATTCCTTGCCCTGTTCCGTTCTGTTCGCCCGAAGGCCTCCACAGACCCTCTGGGCGAACAGAATGGGGCATGACGAACAAACCCTCCCGTTGGCGGCGATGCGACTGGATCGCACCATCCAGGCGTGCCCGGAGGTGATGGCCGACCCAACAGCGGTTTCTCTTAAGATTTTACTGAATTTCAAATTGTCTTGAAGCTCTCTTGGGCCCTCCCTGTAGATCCTTGCGAGCCTCCCCGGCGCTTTCGGTGGGTTTCCCCGATGGCCGCCCCAGAGCCCCAAATAACTGCGTTGTTGGTCAGGCCAGGATAGGCCAGACAGGCCCGCGAAACGGTGCCTCATATATCATAACCCCCAAGAGCCCCAACAGCGGAAACCCCAGAACCCCAAGAGCAGCCTGTTTGCCTTTGAATTGCCCCCCATTTTCTGAGAAGCGCGGCACGCGTTCGAGCACGCATGCCCGAAGAGGGTACTTCAAACACTCGCAGGGCCTCCTGCGATTTGGGGCCGTAAGGTTAAGGTTGCTTCGCAATCCTCAACGCCGGCTGAACAACCTGAGCGCCGAAGCTCGGCGCAAACCATCCGGGCGGCCTGGTGCGGAGGGGGGCCAGTTGCGACGCGGGCAGCAAAGCAGCGGCCTACCTCATGGCCCACGCATCATGGCCCACATCCCTCAGGGCCCGCGTCGATTCGTTTCACAGTTTTCCGAGCTCCGAACTGCCGCGGCGACGGGATGAGAGGGGAGTCGTCGCTGGCCCTCCTCCGGCTTGCGTCATGTGCTCTTGGGCAGTATCCCACTGGCGGCTCTGGGAAACCCAGAGCCTCACCAAGTGAAGCTGGTCTCCGCCAAGGTCCGCTGTAATGCTGCATCTCACGCCGCCGACGCTGTGCTTGACGCAGTTCATCGAGACAGACGGAGGGTCCCAATATATCATTGCCGACTCACGGCCAACCAATACGTTGTCAACTGTGGCAAAGCAGTTGTTCCCATTCATCCGGTAGGGCACCGCCTGGGGACATGTGATATTGCGCGCCGTGCCAAACGCTGCATGCACTACGCGACGCAGCGGCATCGATTTCCCAAAGGACGGCCCCGTGGGGCTTCGAACGGGCCTCCGATGCCTCATCAGATCTCAACTCTAGGGCCTGGGGGAGGACAGCGCGGCTGACCCAAGATGCCCCGCGGACCCTCGGGGGGGGGAAGGCGGAGGAGGAGGGGGAGGAGGAGGAGGAGGAGGAGGAGGAGGAGGAGGAGGAGGAGGAGGAGGAGGAGGAGGAGAGAGCTTCAGCAAACGATGCCCAATCTAAGTCGCCATGCTTTAGCGCATCGTACCCCGCGATGCGCCACGCGCGATTCATCTCCGCGCCCTTGCAAAGCCGCCCTGGCGAAGGGCCGCGCAGCGGCCCAGGCCGCGACGCGCGACACGCGACCGCCCTCGCAACCTTGAGTGCCCTAGAGAACGGTCACCAGACTAACCCAGTCACTTACATCGTCGACTGACCGAGCTTTCAACAACCTGAGCCTGGTGAGGCGCTGGCGGTACAGGAGCTGCTTTAGGTTGGGCTCGACGACGGCGGGCAGCATCGATCCGTCGAGCTCGATCGCGGCGAACACTGGCGTACTCTCGGCGAATATCGCGGCACAGCTGCTCCATCTCGGGATCAACGTCTTCCTCATCGCCGTCTGCATCTGCGACCCATGCCAGGGGATCATCTGGGTCTTCGTCGCCGTCGAAGTCATCACTGTCTAGGGGTTTCGACCACTCTACTCCAGTGATCTTGAGCACGTCCAAGGCCTCATGCTCATAGGATAAACTCGCCATTCCAATGCGCATATTTGCCCTTGACCACGTTGCGAGGACCTCAACCACCATTGTCTTGGAATGAACAAAGTCCAAGCCGCAGTGGCATGAACATAGCCGAACCGACGTAGGAACGAGGGCGCCACCACGTGCTTCAATCCAAACGTCATCGAAAGACCCAAGGCGCTGCTCTGGCGGGTCGGCTTCAACACGAGACACGCGCAACATGATCGAATATATTGGGTTCATCACTTGCATAGCGCTGATGCAACACATGCTGGCGAAGGCGTGAGTCGCCCCCTCGGTAGCGGCCCTGCCGACCGCAAACAAATAGAGCAAAACGCCGTTGTTGGCCACCTTCTCTTTGCCGCACTCTTCAATCATGACGCGCTGCATGTCCGAGTGGATGGATGCCATGTCAGAGAAGCGATCACCGACGGCCTGTTGGCAGTACCCCAGCTTGCAGCAAGGCACCTTGAACTCAGCAGCGTTTTGAAGGAGAACACGTTCGGTCTCAGGTGATCCTGAAACGTGATGGTGCCTCTCTTGAAATGCAGTCACTGCGGTGCTGCGGTTGAAACCATGCTGCAGGCCCGTCACAATATCATACACCGTAAGCATATCCTTCTCGTCCCCAGTGCCCCAAGCTCCCGATAGGCGCGGGCGGCCCGGGCCCACTGGGCCAGCCGCCGCGGCCAGCCGCCGACGACGCCCTGGGGCACGTCGTTGAGCATTGTGTGATTGAGCGGCGAGCTTAAACCGACGGCGACCCTCCACTGGGAGCTGCCTCCATCTGTCGCATGCGTATCTCAGGAAGGCGGGATCGTTAATACTGCGGAAATTCATGGCGGCTTGCCTCGATTTTGCCCATGCCTCCGCCTTGAACTTCGCCCAACTGGTGGTCTGACCTGATCTGGCGTTCCTTCGCGCGCCATCCAAGGCATCCGCCCACTTCCGCTTGGCACAGCGACGCCCTCCCCGGCCTTGACGGCGACCGCGTCCGCCTTCACTGTCAATAGAGGTTGGCAGGTGTGCCTTGGCAGCTGATATGACGTGGTCGGCTGATAGCGTTTCCAAAGATTTGCCTGGACCCAGATGCTTCGAAGCACCAGCGTCAGCATTTGTGTGCGCATGTTCGCATTCCATTGCCCAAACTGCGATCCGACCCTGCTTGGCAATGACGTTAACTTTTCGCTGAACGAGATCAGAAGCAAGGAAAGCGGCCTTCGCATGCGCAACTCTCGATGAAAATGCCGCCGCATCTTCGCCCTCCCCCTGCTCGCACTGCTCCATGCTCCGAAACAGGTTGCCAGTGAATGAGTCATCCAAGCAGCACGATGGCGAGCTTGCAACGCCCATGCACTTCGCACGTCTACACTCGGGCTTGAGCAACGGACTGCACGCGGCAAATGTCCGGGCAGGGAAGCCATCAACCATTTGCTTCCACAAGCGCCACCAGACATGCGCGGCTCCAGCCCACACAACGCGGGCAGCATGGCCCAGAACACTTGGACTGTCTCCGAATAGTTGCTGCACTCGGTAATTGTAAGAACTCCCCGGTCGGAGGTGCGCGCAAAGTCGAGACAGCGAACGTTCGATTGGCACCCCTGCGCACCAAGCAGTGAAAGTGCTAATCCTGGACTCCAAGACGTCGGCATCATCCACATCCTCGTCCTGCGAGAAGCCGTAGCGATTCCTGATGTTGACCATGTCGGCAGCCGAAATGCTGCCGCCGTCGTGCTTCAACACCCAGTGCAAAATCCGTCGAATGTCCCCGTTTGACTCCCCGGCAATGCTAAACAATTTCATCAGTACCCCTGGCTGCAAAAGAAATTTCAGCACAAGACGTTTCCGAACCTCTCCTTGGACCTTGGGGTCGGCCTGGGGGGCGTCAACTGCATCATCGTCAGGAGGCGCAGCGGCCGCTGGGGCACGACGTGGTTTGACGACCATCTTCAGAGAGCGACTAAATAACGAACAGAAGCCTTCATAAGCCCCTACCAGCCTGCGCAGACACTGGGACTCCAGTCCACCGAGACTCTGCTGGCACTGGCATTTTCCGACCAAGCATCACAGACTTTAGCAAGATAACGAGCTTCTGCTTGCACTGCGCTCTGTTCTGACAACACCACGTTCCTGCTTCCTCATCGAACGCGCAGTAGTGGTCCAAAGTATTCGTAGACAAATCGCTTTGTCCCACAATCTCCAACAACAATTCCAAATCGGTCGACCGCGACGGAGCGGCCCCCCCAGGGGTCATGAGGTCGGGGTCGTAGCCGAAGAACACCTGCCAGAACACTGCATTCCGCCGAAAGTTAGCGCGGCGTGCTGCCGTCTGATCCTGGCGGGGCCCCCGCGCGAGGAGGAGGAGCAGGATGGGGGAGCAAGAGGGGCAGGAGAGAGGGGGGGCGCCCACAGGATCTGATGGGCGCTCCGACTTAGCACCGCTGCGGGTCCTCCGGCGGGCGCCCGCGATGATACACCAACGACTCGTCCACTAATCTCCACCGCCGCGCCCTGCGCGCAGGGTGGGCGCGCGCGGGCCGCGGCCCCAAGAACCCTATGGGCCCTCTGAGCCTATGAGCCCTTCGAGCCCTATGAGCCTCACGAACCCTATGAGCCCAATGAGACCAAAGCGCCCCGCGACTCCTATGAGACCGACGGGCCCAATGAGGCCGGGGACCCCTGCGAGCCCGACGAACCCCGTGAGCCCCGTGAGACCTGTGGGCCCGATCAGCCCTGGGAGCCCGATGAGCCCCATGAGCCCCGCAAACCTTTTTTGAACCCGATGAGCCCCGCGAACCCCGAGGCGCCCCTGCTTTCCCGCAAAGTCCCAACGAACGGTGCCCGCAAGCCGCGGCGCTAGCACGGCAGCGGCGCGGGCCGAAGGCATGTGATATCTAGGCAAGTACGAAGCGTCTTTATAAAATTGAATAACTCAAACAAGTGCCCGATGCGAACCAAAGAGGTGACCAAGGCAGGGGGCTTAGCATCGACTGCTGCAGCCCCCCCTGCAAGTGCTGCATGCTCGCCACCCGGGGCGCCAGCCGGGGGATGCCCGTACCACTTGTCGGCCGCGACGCCCTGGCAACCGTTGCAGGTGTGGACCACGTGGGCCGCGCAGTCAACGAGCACGCACGACATACCTCTGCGCTGCCCGCTGCAGCAAGCCGCCGCCTCCGCTTTCTCAAGAAGAAGGTTGGAAGACGCACGGTCTCCAATCAAGAACTCGCAACACTCCGTATTCTCCATGTCCCTCAACGGCTTTAGCAATGCATTGAACGGCATGTGCAAGGAAATCGCATCAAGCAAGGCGTGGACACGCAGACTGCCCATCGCCACCAGCGGGCACACGATTGGCTCATTTAAGACGGTCCGATCTTCGTTTACATCGTGAATCAATAGCTGCCCAGACTGTTGCATGATCGACATTGCAATCCCCTTCACTGACTCGCCGTTTCTCCGTGCAGCCAGGTACTCTGACGTCAAAGGCAACCGGGTGTTCTGACTTGTCATCTGCCCGCGCTGGACCGTCTCATCCCACATCCAAGTCAAAACTGCCAAGGAAGAGCGGTGTCGATCCCTGTCTGCGTCAACCCATTGAGATATAGCTGCATGTTGTCGGTCGCACCACAAGTTCGCGCCGTTGATGCGGGCGGCCCTGACGAAATCGGGCGTGATGAGGCCAGCAATCGCATGGCTGTCCTCAGCATCCAGTAACCGGGGCAACATTGATGCAATAACAACGGACGTATGTGCCGTTGCGATCCTGCCAGACAAAGAAACGCAAGCAAGTTGGCATCGGGCTTCTAATAGTTGAGCAGCGGTAGGCTTGCGCACGGCAAGCTTCTGCGGCGCAGCGGTGGCTGCGATGCCTGCGTGGCCTCCAAACAGTTGTCCAGCCTCGCTTTGGAGTTGGTTGAATGTATTGGAAGAGCTGGCCAATGATTTCCGCAAAATGGACGAAGAGTTTTGGGCAGCGGTAATGCGACAAAGAAGTTCGGCTCGAACTTCGGCACGTACCCCTTTGATTTTTCTCGCAAGTCGAGCACGATCGGGCTTTGGTGTAGTGACGTCGGTTTCTCCTCCATGACCCGTCGCATCATGTGCTCTATCACCGCCATGGCGGCCGCAACCTGAATCAACGCAATCGCCATCCACAGCATCCAATATGTCACGGTCAACTGAAGCGACTACTTCGGATTTGGGTTGCCGTGGTAAGCGGCTTCTGATGACAGAGAGAGGATCACTAGGCTGTCCGACGTCGACGTCCGCAACCCCAACGTCATCCAAAATGTCGGACAACCCTTCGTGGCTGGCGATGGCGCGCAACGGGTCGACGCCAAGACTCCTGGGAAGGCGCTCGGCTACGTCGTCCAGAGGGTCGGCGCCAGCACTGTCCTTCAGGCTGTCGGACATAGCTTCTCAACACACATGCTCCCTGCGGCGCGGCAGCGAGGGCGGGGCGGGGGTGGGGGGGGTCCTTAGGCGGAGTAGCGCTTCTCAGAAGCCCTCCAACTTCAAAGCCTGCTGCCGTTTAGGAAGCCATCCCCAATCCACCCCCAAACCCGTCGGCGCGCCACCCAGTTCACATGCGCGTGCGCACGTGCAAAAAAGGGAGCGCGGGACACTGAGCGCACGGCTCGACACATGTTAATGCAACAATGCATTGTTTTTGGAAACCTGGAAACCTACCACCATGCGGAAACTAGAGTGTACGTCAGGCACCCAATGAGAAGAAAAGAGCACGATTGGGCAGCCCTGTCCTCGAATCCATCGGAGCCCACTCCGTCCAACGCCGCAAGGGGGTCTACCACTACGCCGGCTGGCATTCCTGAGCCACACGGCAGCGCCGTTCCGCGCGATGTGATCGGGTGTTGTCCGCTACGCTGTGGCTTTGGATAAGACAACTGTCGAACCCAAGGTCTCGCGACCGATAGAAGGCCAGTCGTGAGCCACGAATTCTTCTTCCTCTGGCCCCTCGGGAAATGATCTGCGCTGGCTGACTCAACGCAAAAACGAACAATTTCGGCCCGCAGGGGATTGTAGCAATTTCGGTCTGCAGGGGATTGTGGTAATTTCGGTCCGCAGGGGATTGTACACACGTACTCTGAAGAACATTTTATCCCACCACGTGGGAATTGACACGCTCTACGTATATGCGCTGACCAATCTGGGATTATGCATTGCAAGCGAAGCAACCGCATTTACGGCCCTCTTGGGCACGAAAAAAGGGGAACAACAGCATCACTTTACATTTGCATTGCCCCTAGTGGTGGATGTGCGACATATCATCCGCTGGCTTCGCTTTTCCGTAATCAGGAATCATCCCCAAACGGTGCTTGCAGCAAGAGTTCAGGGGTCCACGAAGGCACTCACGCGGACAAATCGTGCCCTCCCCTCTCTCCCAGCACTCGCTTCCTCGGTCCGCGTGAGAATAAAACTGCGCTTCGCATGCTACGAACATTTTTTTTGTGTGTTTGTTGTTGTTTTTTTGTTGTTTGATGGCAGGCTGTTGTTTTGTATGTTTTTTTTTTCTTCTGTGTTTTTTCTTGTTTCGGCTCTTTTTTTTCAGTTCTCGACAGAATCACAGAGAATATGCTGAGATTGCAGAATCCGTTTACCTAACCACCATCCCCCGGGCGCGGCGAGGGCTCTTTTGTTTTCCGAATTTGCAGGTCAGCAAGTCGCGCTGCAAGTCGAGCTGCACCGCCCTCTCGGCGGAAGTGGTCAACAAGTCGCGCTCATGGGAGCCGGCGACACACACAAGCTTGAATGATGTACACTGCAACTTCATAACAGTGCACATATGTGAAAATGCTTCCTTTCTTCCTCCTCTCCCTCTCTCCTCCCTGCAAGTCTTTTCTCCTCTGCCTCTACCTCCTCTTCCTCCTATACCTTCGCCCTCCCTCAACCTCTCCCTCTGGCTCCTCACTTCCTCTACCTCTTCGTCCTGCCCTCAGCTCCCCGGGGGCGCGCTGCCGGCGCTTTCGGCCGGCCTCCTGCCGCGGCGCTCCTCCAGGATCGCCTTGCGTATGGCGACGGCCCGCCACAGCAGGCCGGCGTCCACCTCCTTCCTGCGTTTCAGGCCAGTCGGCCAGAGGAGGCGCCGCTGCAGCGCATCCTGTGGCCGGCCTACGGGCCTGATCTCCGCCTCGCAGCGCCAGACCACGTGCTCGAAGTCCGGCGCCTCGTCCCTCCCACAGCGGGGGCAATGCTCCTGCACTGCTGCCCGCCCTTCTCGTCGTTGTCCTCCTCCTCCTCCTCCTCCTCCTCCTCCTCCTCCTCTCTCCTCTCTGCCCTTCGCCGCCTGCAGGTGCGCCGGCGAGACGAAGGCTCCAGACATCACGCTGGCCGCGTGCGTGCTGCCCTCTGCCAGAAGCCTCGCGGCTTTGCAGCGCCGCTCGTCGTACTGCTCGAACCGGCACAGAGACGAGTCGATGCGGCTCTGCCCCCGCCACCTCCCGAATAGGTTCGCGCGCCAGCCTTCCCGGAGCACGTGCTCGAGGCGTCCTTTGCACTCAGACCAGTGCTCGCTGCCCTTGCTCAGGCTGAGAATGACGCCCGTGACTGGGTGCCTCCACTCCCACTCGGCGCGTTCCTGCCAGCCGCAGCCCTGCAGGAGAGCGTGGATCCGGCCAGAGCATCCCTCCTGCCTCCTCCAGGTTCCCAGCGTGGCCCGCCGCTGGTCCTTGCAGAGGGTGCGCCACGCTGCCATGAAGGCAGTCGTCAGCAGGCGGCACCTGACACTGAGCCGGTGGCCGCGGAAGATGGCCCGGAGGTGGGGGCTCCCTGCTTTGGGCTCCTGCCTCGCCCTCACGATCGCCGCCTGTAGCTGCGTCTCGTCCCTCTTGTTCATCTGCCTGTCGATCCAGCCGTACTCGGCGACTGCCAGCGCCTTGCTTGCCATCGTCGCCTCCTTCATCCTTCTGCAGACTGGCAGGCTCGCACTCTTTTCGAGCATCACCTTGGCCCTCCTCAGCCTCGTCTCCTCCTTCCTGGTATACTTCCTTCCTCTTCCTCCTTGGCGGCCGGTCCCCTTGCAGAAGCCCACCCCGAGGATCTCTGGAGCGTCCGTCACCGTGGCGTCCGGCACGCCTGCTTTGAGCAGCTGCTTCCTGCCCGCGGCCGTCCGGTGGGCGTGCTGGGACTTCGCCTCGTTCTCCTTGAGGCCCAAGACGAGCGACCACTTCCTCCACCTCCTCACCAACTGCCAGCAGCTCCTGCGCGGTGCTGGACTTCCACGACCTGTCGTCCACGAAGCAGGAGAGCTCCGTCCCAGGGAAGCGCGCCACGATGGCGGTGATCGGCAGGTGTAGGACCGCCACCATAGCTATCATGGACCACGGGTCGCCCTGGGGCAGCGAGGTGCCCACCTCCTCCGGCTGCCTGAGTGTGACTCCTTGGTATTGCAAGTACCGGAGCTGTCCGGTCCACACCTGTTCCAGGATAGCGGCGACCGCGCGCGTGCACCCGAGCTTCCTCAACACCGCGACTGCCAGTTTGGGGTCGGTCTGGTCGAAAGCCAACGTGTAGTCATAGGACGCGATGAAGTCACCCTGGTGGTACCAGTCGATGAGGCACATGAGCGGCATGTACACCTCTCCAGCCTTGCGTCCTCCAACTGCCTCCTCCCTCCACCATTTCCTCTGCCACGCTTGGGCGTCGGGGGACCGCAGCAGCACGCTGCCGAGCAGGCGCCACCAGCAGCTCAAGATGGTGATGGGTCGCAGCGCCTGCACAGCTATGCTCCCATCCTTCTTTCTCCTCCCTTTGCCCTCCTTTGGGAGCATTACTTGCCGTGCCTTGCGCCACTCTGTGGGCACGCAGCCCTGGTCCAGCATAAAATTGAAGACGTCAGCAAGGTGGTGGACCACCGCAGGGCAGTAGAGCGAAGCGAGCTCATCTCCGTGCCAGCCGTCAGCTCCAGGAGCGGATCCCTGTAGCCTGCCCATGGCGCCCCGCAGTTCCATGGGACACACGGGTCGCCAGATCTCCTCCGACGCAGGCGGCAGCGTGTCCTCGACCCGTTGCTGCCATTCCTCCTGCGGCGCAAGCTCGCGCCCCCAGACTTTCCTCCAGTGCCGCGCCAGCAGTGCAAGCGCTTCCTGCTCCGTGGCGCTGTCTTCCCTGGCCTCGTCCTCCTCGCTCCTCGTCCTCCCTTCCTGCTCCTCGCCCTTGGCCTCCTCCTCCTTCCCCTCTGCGTGCACGCCCGTCGGTGGAATCGTGCGGCCGCCTTCCACCCAGGCGCAGCATGCCCTGAGCGACCCTCGCAGACGGTTGCGCCACCTGTCGATGCGGCCCTGCCTCCGCTGCTTCCGGAGCTCCGCCAACTTCGCCTCGACCTCCTTCAACCTCACCAGCCGATGCTTCGTCAGCCCTTCGCGGATTCTCTTTTCGAGCATTCGACCCTCGGCGCTCTCCTCGGGGCCTTTCCTTTGCAGCCACTGCATGTGCCGCATCCGCCCGCGCAGGTTGTCAAGCTGCTGGATGCACGCCGACGTGTGCGGGTCGTCACATTCCCCGAACCTGTGCTCCTGGTACCGAAACGTCTGCGTGTTCTTCCTGATGCTCCATCCTCGGATGCTTTCCGCCTCGTTTCCTGCCTCCTCCATAGCCCTCCTCATCGTGCTCCTGAAGAAGTGCTCGAGGTAGAGAGACGTCTGCTTCCACACGTCGTCCACCTGTTTCTGCATGGCGTCCATGTCCCGGGGCTCCTCCATAGCTGGGAGACTTGGCGGAGCCATGGTCGCATAGACCTCCCGCTGCAGTTGACACCATCGCTCTGGTTCCACGTGTCCCGGGCAGCCCAAATTGGCCGACCTGCCCAGAATGCAAACCGGCTCACGCATGCCCCTGTCGCCCCGGACCACCTGCAGCTGGGCAGCGACAACCCGGTGGTCCTTGAACGAAATGTCCTCCAACGCCGGCTGGTCACAGCTCGTCGGGTGCGAGGCTATGTAATAGTCGATGCACCTGCGCCCCTCCCAGCGCGTCGGAACGCAGCCTCCTCTGTCATCCAGCGCCGTCCGGAGACACGCCCCTTCCTCTCGGAGCAGATCCCACAGCAGATTCTCCCCGGGCTCGTCGTTGAAGTCGCCCGCAATGCACCAGGTGTGCTTACGGCTCAGCGTCTCCAGCAGCCCCAACACGAACGACATAGCCT